TGAAAAATGTTTTCTGAATTATTTTTGCTGGCACTCAGGACTGAGCTCTGAGCTTTAAGCTTATACTTTACTGCTTGATCCATCTCTCCAGCTCTAAGTTCTGCTGGTTAATCTGAGAGATAGTCTCAGATTTTTTTCCCTGGTTGACTTTAAATTGTGATCCTCTGGATCTTGAGACTCCTGAGTAGCCATGAACTCAGGGCTAGGTGTTTTTCCGGAGCTTTTATGCTCAAGGCTAGTGCTCTACCACTTGAGCCACATCTCTACTTCTAGCTTTTTTGAAGATCAAGAGTTTCACAGACTTTCCTACCCAGGCTGGCCTGAAACCAGTATCTTTAGATTTTAGCCTCCTGAATAGCTACGATTACAGATGGGAGTCATTGGTAGCAGGCAATCTTTTTTTTTATTGTAAGGTACAATAAAATAAAATTTTCTTTGTGAATTTACATACCCCCCAATAAAAAGGTTTAATGGTCTTATTACACATCTTACTCTTTCTTTATCAGCTGTCTTGCAAGAATCTATTTTATTTTGCTGGTTTTACACAAACTATTTCATTCAGATGTAGTGATTTCACATAGAAACTCTGAGTTAGAAACAAAAACAAACAAGCAAACAACAAAGCCAAACCAACCACAGTTTAGGGAATCCGTATTTGGTACAAGGAGCAAAAACTGTTCAAAAGGTATATTTTAGTTGAACTTGGCTAAACATTTCTTTACAAAAGGCCTTTCTCTCCCACTAACCTAAGCATAAAGATTTATGCCACCACTTATTCATAACAAATCTGCTGTAAAACAAAGCAGAATGTACAGTTCCCTGGGGGTTTGGGTTGCTTTGTGTCGAGCTGTGTCTCCTGTTTAATGCTCCTCATCTCTCCAACCACTGCCACAGTGCTGCCTGTCTGGATTAAGTAAACACAACGTGAGCCCAGTGACTTAACTACACTTTATAAATTCACCATTGTTAAGCTACAAAACCAGCCTTTCTAAATAAAACTGCATCTGAGTCAAACTGCCAAGTGAAAAAGCACAGCTTTCGAGCTCTAACTCCTTTTAGTAACACTTTAGTCCTGGTCAGTCTTAAATAAGATCCATATGAGGACTGAAGGGATGTCAGCTTTGCACTTTGTTTACAAAGTGCCCTCACTTTTTCTTGCAGGAGGTGCTGGGAGCGATCAAGAATGATCACCAGCCAGCACCAGTGGCTCATGCCTATAATCTTGGGTATTCAGCAGGTTGATGACACCCTAGCAGCTTCTCAAGAGGCTGAGATCTGATGATCATGGTTCAAAGCCAGCCCAGGCAGAAAAGGTTGTGTGGGACTCTTATCTCCAATTAACCACCCAAGAGCTGAAGTGGCACTGTAGCTCAAGTGGTAGAGCCTCAGCCTTGAGTGAAAAAACTGAAGAACATACTTAGGCCCTGAGTCCAACCCCAGTACTGGCACAGAAATGAACAAACAGATAAACAATCAAATATGTTGGAGGGGGCGGGGAGAATTGGGTGGGGGGGTGGGGGGAGGAGAATGGGAAGGGATGGGAAGGGGAAACAAAGGAAGAGGCTACAATGCTTGATAAGAAATGTACTCATTATCTTGCCCATGTAATTGTAAGCCCTCTGTACAGTATTTTCACAATAAAAAATAAATAAAAATTAAAACAAACAAATAAGTAAATGCTCATCATAGCAGAGGAGCAAATAGCAGTTTTGTCTCTTTAAAAAAAGTTTATGTTGGGGCTGGGAAGGTGGCTCAGTGGTAGAGCGCTTCCCTTGCATGCCTGAGGCCCTGGGTTCGATTCCTCAGCACCACATAAGCAAAAAAAAAAGAAAAAAGCCAGAAGTGGCACTGTGGCTCAAGTGGTAGAGCGCTAGCCTTGAGCTGAAGAGCTGAGGGACAGTGCCCAGGCCCAAAGTTCACGCCCCACAACTGGCCCCCCCCCAAAAAAAAAAGTTTATGTTGTGTGATTATAGGCAGTATGCCTAAAATCAGTAGGCTGAGATCTGAAGATCTCAGTGAGAAGCCAGCCTCGAGCTGGGCACTGGTAGCTCATGCCTGTAAACCTAGCTACACTGCAGGCCGAGGTCTGAGAATAATGGTTTGAAGCCATTCTAGGCAGGACTGAGACTCTTTAATTAATCACAGAAAAACCTGGAAGTGGAGCAGTGGCTCAAGTGGCAGAGTGCTAGCCTTGAGCAAGGAGCTCAGGGGACACTTCCAAGACCAAGTTCAAACCCTAGGACCAGCAAAACAAACAAATAAATAAAAATGAAAAAATGGAGAAGACAATCTGGGCAGGAGTTGGATCTCCAAGTAACTACCAAAGCTGGAAGTGGAGCTCGGTTCAAATGGTAGAATACTAGATTTAAGCAAAACAGTACAGGGACAATGTCCAGGCCCTGAGTTGAGATCACTGTACTGGCACACACAAGAAAGAAAAGAAAGAAAGAGAGAGAGGAGAGGAGAGGGGAGTGGAGAGAGAAGTTTAAAGGCTGGAGATGTAGCTCCATGATGGAGTCTTGCATAGTTTGATTCCTAGCACCTGAAATAGAATTCTAAAATAGAACTCAGAAAGGTACAGCTTTCCCTCCTAGGAAACAAAGGAGAAAATTACACTTAGTAGTTATTTAACAAGCAAATGTTGGAGATTTTGAGCTCCACTGATTCCAAGAGACTGAAATGAGTCAGCTTGCTCCAAAATGTGACCAGCAGCAGCAATCACTTTAAACATGAATGAGGTAGCTGATTTTTAAAGTCTGGAAAAAGAAGGTTTTTGTTAAAGCCAACTGTTTCCCAGAGGAGGAAATGCAGTTCTGCCTCAGGAACTTTAAATGGATCTGTTGAATAACCCGGAGGGGATGTATCATTCGGATGAGAGGGCAAGGAAGAATCCAGCTGATTTTCAGGCAGAATAACAAGCATGACCACATTACTTTTTGGTATATACACACTGTGTGTGTGTGTGTGTGTGTGTGTGTGTGTGTGTGTGACCTGTATAAAAGCAGTTCTCACATTCCTTTGGTTTTGGTCCCTTTCCACCTAAACAAAACATTCATGTGAACTTGAAAGAACCTTGTTTATGTAGGTGATGGCTGATAAGTTTTATTTTCTAGTTTAGAAATGAAGATTGAGTAATCTAAATAAGTGTTTGTTGATAACTTGATTCATTAACAATTATAGGTCAATTCTGTATAAATGTAAACATATTTTTGTATTGAAAACCAGGTTTTCAAAAATGTGGTGAGGAAAATGTTATTGTTTTATGTCTTTACAAATCTCTCTTTTTTTTCCATTTGGACCTCAAAAGTTTAGGGGCGGGGTGTTAAAATTTAACATGTCCATCTTTGTCCAGTGCTTCTTGATCAGAGATACCCCTTCCATTATTGTCCCTATAGTGCTATGCCATCTCTTTAATATGTGCTTTAGTAGATGACACTGTGATTTTCATACGCATACAACTGATTGCTTGTGCATACTTTTCACTTACACAGACACGGAATGGAACAAAGAGAATCCCACAGTCCCACAAAAGGGTCTCAGGAATCCCAGGGACACACTTTGAGGACCACCATCATATAAAATGGTTTTAAAGAATATGTGATGGAGAACAGCTCTCCCTGAGTGGTGAGATTATTAGGAATCCGTCTTTAAAAAATTATTGGGGCTGGGAAGGTGGCTCAGTGGTAGAGAGCTTGCCTTGCATGCATGAGGCCCTAGGTTAGATTCCTCTGCACCACATAGGCAAAAAGAAAAAAGCCAGAAGTGGTGCTGTGGCTCAAGTGGTAGAGTGCTAGCCTTGAGCTGAAGAGCTGAGGGACAGCGCCCAGGCCCAGAGTTCAGGCCCCACGACCGGACCCCCCCAAAAATTATTATCAATTAGTTATGCAAGGGGGCTGCATTTCAATGTCTCCATTTGTGTGGATAAGACATCTTGACCAGAGTCACTCCCTGCATCTGAGACCCTTTTGCTCTCCGGTAGCACTTAGTTGTTGTTTTTTTTTCTTTTCTGTTATGTGAGGATGGATTACTTGTACAACTTGGAAATCAAGAAACTGAGTGGCTGAGGGAAAAGTACAGAGGCCCTGAACTAGGCTGAAAAGTTTATGCTTGGGAAACCAAAGAGCCACATAATTGATTAACTAATTAATTATTAACAAATTAATCTGTCATATTTTTGGTGTCAGTACTTGGACTTGAACTCAGGGCCTGAGTGCTATCCTTTAGCTTTTTTCTTCAAGGCTAGCACTCTACCATTTGAGCCATAGCTCCACACCTGGTTTTTTTGGTGGTTAGTTGGAGATATGAGTCTCACTAACTTTCCTGCCTGGCCTGGCTTTGACCTGTGATCCTCAGATATCAGCTTCCTGAGAAGCTAGGATTACAGGCATGAGTTGCATCATTTCTTACATAGGAAAGTGACTTGATAAAAGATGTGTCTGGGTGCTGGGAAGGTGGCTCAATGGTAGAGTGCTCGCCTCGCATGCATGAGGCCCTGGGTTCGATTCCTCAGAGCCACATAAGCAGAAAAAAGCTGAAGTGGCGCTGTGGCTCGAGTGGCAGGGCACTAGCCTTGAGCTGAAGAACTGAGGGACAGTGCCAAGGCCCAGAGTTCAGCTCCCACTACCGACAAAAAGAAAAAAAAAAAAGATGTGTTTGGGAATAAAGAGATGAAGGTGGGAAGGGAAAAGGTAGAGAAATGAGAGAAGCCACTGCCGGGGTCATTGCAGGTTCTTCAGATGGGTGGAGAGTTGGGCCGAAAATGGGGACAAAGTCTCAAGGAGATTTTTGCAGGCCCTGACCAAGGCCTGAGTGGGAAGTAAAGGAAGGCAGGGCCAAAGAGAACCTAGAGAATTTAGGCTAAAACATTGTCCTTCTTCACGTTCATCTGCGAATTATCCTGCCTCAGCTCCTGGATGTCTTGTCCTGTTTTTCAGAGTTGGCTGGTCCATCCATGAGCTTTGGAGGAAGTCAATACCCTTCTCAAGGTGGCTCCCTCTCCACTGCTTCCGGAAGGAAAGGGAGATTTGGATGCATGACATCCCTGGGGAGCTCTCTGCAGCTGGCCTGTCTGTGGTGGTGAAGGGCCGTGGGCCTGGTCCCTGCCTGTGGGATACCCGAGTTCCCCTCCTATGCACTCCAGCACCCCCATCAGCTCCCTCTTCTCCTTTACCAGCCCTGCAGTGAAGAGACTGCTGGGCTGGAAGCAGGGAGATGAAGAGGAGAAGTGGGCAGAGAAGGCCGTTGACTCTTTAGTGAAGAAACTGAAGAAGAAGAAAGGAGCCATGGATGAGTTAGAGAGGGCTCTCAGTTGTCCAGGACAGCCCAGCAAATGCGTCACGATCCCCAGGTCTCTGGATGGGCGTCTGCAGGTGTCCCACCGCAAAGGTTTGCCTCACGTTATTTACTGCCGAGTGTGGCGATGGCCCGATCTCCAGTCCCACCACGAACTGAAGCCCCTGGAGTGCTGCGAGTTCCCTTTTGGCTCCAAGCAGAAAGAAGTGTGCATCAACCCTTACCACTACCGCCGGGTGGAAACACCAGGTAGGCACTGTTCACCATGCCTAAGGCTTTATTTCAGACTTAAGGTGACCTGTTGGTGGAAGCTGGGCTGGGGACCCCAAGATAAGGACACCTGTACAAGTAGAGAAAAGAGGGAGGTTTGATTCTGAAGAACAAATATAAAATGTCTTCAGAAACATCTAGAAGCCTGACCCTGATGGTTTCCTCCTATAATCCTTACAACTCAGAATCAGGAAGCTGAGCTATAAGAATCCTGGTTTGCCAGGTGCTGGTGATTCACACCTGTAATCCTAGCTACACAGGAGGCTGAGATCTGAGGATCACAGTTCAAAGCCAGCCCAGGAAGGAAAGTCCATGAGACTCCATTAAACTACCAGAAAACTGGAAGTGGTGCTGTGGCTCAAGAGCCTTGAGCTGAAGAGCTGAGGGACAGCACCCAAACTCAGAGTTCAAGCCCCACGACCGACCAAAAAAAAAAAAAAGAATCTTGTTTTGTATCTAGTCAGGGCAGGAAAGTCTATAAGATGCTTATAGTCAGTTAACTAGCAAAAGATGGGAAGTGGCAGTCTAGCTTAAGTGGTAGAGCTCCAGACTTGAGTTGACAAAGCTAACAGTGACCAGAACCTGAATTCAAGCCCTAATATTGGCAAAGAAAGAAAGAAAGAAAAAGGCAGGGAAGGGTAAACAAGGAAGGAAGGAAGGAAGAAAAGGAAGGAAGGAAGGAAGGAAGAAAAGGAAGGAAGGAAGGAATCTGAAGAGTTTAGTTCAATGGATACCTAATCTTTATGTTATTTTGATGTATTTAGGTAGAATTCTCATAATTTCTTCCTAGGTTTTTTTTTTATGTCAGTTGTGGGACTTGTACTCAGGGCCTGGGTTCTGTCTCTGAGATTTTTTTGCACTCTACTACTTTGAGCCACAGCTCCTCTTCTGGCTTTTAGGTGATTAATTGGAGATGAATCTGATGGCTTTACCTGCCCAAGCTGACTTTGAACCAGGATCCTCAGATTTCAGTCTCCTGAGTAATTTGGATTACAGGCGTGAGCCACTAGCACCCTGCACTTCCTCGTTCTTAAGAGCTTGAAGGATCTTTACAAATGGCTTTGATAATGATTAGCTGTGAAAAAATATCCATCTTCCCTCTCCCACTCCACTACTAGACTAGACTGAGCCATACTGAATTGTACTAAACTAGACTGGAAAAGGTTTTTCCTGCTTCTACTTTGCCCAGTCTCAGGTAAGGGAAAGGTTTCTCATGTCTGGGTCTGAAGACAGCCAATGAAAGAGATTTTGAAAGTCATTTCAGGGCTAAAATAACAGATTGGGGAAGCTTGGAAATTGCTCTTACATATGAGCTCCTTTGTTTTTGTTCTGGGGGAATAGAACCTGAGGCCTCATGCATGCTAGACAAGTGTTCTGTCGCCTATCCCTTAAGTACAGTTGAGCCAGAGGAGAGTGCTGTTAAAAACCCTTCTCCTTCCCAAATGTTGTGTATGTCCCGCCTTTCTGGAGAACACTGGTGTTTAACTTTGTTCCTTCATATTGATTGACACAGTTGGACTGCTTCTCTTTCATCTGCCATCGGGACAGGAATATAGTTGGGCTGGAACTCTTCTCTCTTTGACTGGTCATCTACCTCATTCCAGGAGCTGAAGGGGCTGGCACATTAGCTCAGGGAACTCATTTGTATCCCACTAGGAGACAGTTCTGTCTGATAGCCGCTCAAGTGTGCAGTTCATCTTACTGGGGTGTTACCCAGCCCACATCAGTTGCAGACAGTTATGGTTTTTCAGACTCCTCAAACTTGCCATACTGTTATCAAGTGTTTGTTCAAATGCCACCTCTGTGTGTCATAGCTCCTTCATGCAGGAACTGGGACTGTGTCTCAAAAAATGATGAGAAAGTCTCATGCTCTTGGCCAGTCTCACGCATTTCTTCGAAATCATGAGAGGGTCTTTGATTCTTCCTTTCTTTCCTATTTCTCTTTGAACTCTCCTTTCATATCAGAAAAGAAAAAAGGAGCATGGTGCTACCTGCCTGTAACATTCCAGCTATTCAGCAGGCTGAGGCAGGAGGATCCTCTGAGTTCAGGAGTTTAAGGCAAGTCTGGGCAACGTAGCAAGACCTTATTTCAAAAAAAGAACAAATGAAAGTTAATAAAGTCAGAGTTTACATTTAAAAAATGGGATGTTTCCTTTCTGCCTCAAATATTTGAGTAGATTGAATTCATATATAGATAGAATTCATATAATTAATTTTAGGTTTTAATTTCCAGAAACATGAGTCAAAGACTATATTGATTTACTGTAATTTTTAAGCCGCACACTTTTGTTTTGTTTGGGATTCCTAATATATCTTTTTAATAGAATGCGTTATATCTAGTTTTGTATCTAGTTGTGATCAAAGTAAATATTGTGAGAACAGTGAAAATATTAATGTTAAATAAGTTTGCTGAGTCCCCAGTTGTAATAAGAGCGTGTTTGCCTTTGAAGTTTGTTTTTTGGTTTTTACCATGTATTTGAAGTAGATGAAAGGTTGCACCTGGTTTCCTTTTCATTCACATGTCCATTTTTGCATGGTAATGTTGGAAGTTTGTTCTCTAATGTCGTAGAAGACAGTATGTACAAGTCCTAGTTTGTAGAAGAAACCATTTGTTTCTCTACTGCCCTCACCTGTACTGACTTTAGTTGAAAACTTCTCATTTACCTCTTTCAGTTATTTTCTGCTTAAAGAACTGACATTCTGGGGCTGGGAACATGGCTCAGTGGTAGAGTGCTTGCCTTACATGCATGAGGCCCTGGGTTCCATTCCTCAGCACCACATAAAAAGAAAAAGCTGGAAGTGATGCTGTGGCTCAAGTGATAGAGCACTAGCCTTGAGCTGAAGAGCTGAGGGACAGAGTCCAGGTTCAGACTTCAAGCCCCACGACCAACAAAATAAAATAAATAAATAAATAAATAACATCCTCCAGTCCCAGCTTCCTCAGTATTAGGATTATTATAGTGAGCACCAGTAACTGGCTAGGACTTGTACTTCTTATACATTTTTTTCTTTTATCAATGTGATCACAAATCAATCTATCCACAGAAACATCTTTTAACCATTTCCTATTCTTTGCTGTTTCTCTTCATGGTAATGAAAAATCTAGGTAACTTTCTTATTAGTCATTTTTAGGTAATTTATCATCTTTATCACATAAAAGATGAGGATTTTTCTGTCTTCCTTCCCCTTCTCAGTTCTTGATGTTTATGTTTTAGTTCATGGTTTATGGAAGTTTTTGGTTATTTTCTAGGTTCCTGCAGTGGAGTTGGGGTAGGTACTGCTTTCTCTCAGAAAGGCATTGGTGTCTTGTCTTCCAGCCATCAGTATTGAGGTGGGAAATTGATCCTCATTTCTCTGAAGGTGGCTTAAAGGCTCCTGGGAGATTCAGAATATCTCACTTACTCTGATGTTTGAAATGCAATAATGTTGTGACTAGGTTTGAGTCTATTTTCATTTACACTGTGTTTCTTTCAATCAGAAGACACAGATTTGGGAAGTTTTCTTCTATTGTTTCTTTGATTATTTTCTCCTCTGTTTTCTTTGACTCACTATCTGGAACAGTGACACAGGCTGTACTTTAACCTTTAGGATTACTTCCTTTAGACCAGGTACATATTAGATGTTGGAAGGAGCTTCCAGTGCCTGAATAAAGCTTGCCCTTGAAAATCTGAATCCAGTCTGACCTTTCGTCTTGAGTCAGGATCAGGGATACCCCATGTTCTTTTTGAAGAATAGAACTAAATGAACTAAAATGAATAGACTTAATTTGTAGGTTTTCCCGTGGCTACTGATATTTCGCTTGTTCACTTTCTTATTCTACTTTGCACTGCACTGAAGAACTTTTCTCTCTTCCCCTTTCAATCTTTCCCATAAGGGAAACAGGATGTTTTGATTTCAGCAACATTACTGAGCCTGAATTAAGGTTGGTCATCTAAATAATGCAACACAGTCTTGGAAGGAAAACACTGTGGGCGTCACTTAGATTTCATGGAGAGCAACAGAGTGCAGCTGCGCTTTAAAAAAAATTAACTTGATTGGCAGAACTGAAAGATCATACACACAGTGAGATCCTGAGAGTACAAGTATTAGAATATAGCTCTGGTCATTTCCAAGGTTGGGAGACTCTTTTTGGACTTTCTGAAGTGTGTCATTCATGGTGGATGATGAGCAGAAATATTGGAGGCACCAGCTGCTGGTGGCTCATGCCTGTAACCCAAGTTAATATGGAGGCTAAGATCTGAGGCTCTAGATTGAAAACCAGACAGGCTTTCTTTATCTCGCTAACTAGCAAAATGCCCAAAGTGGAAGTGCAGCTTAAATGGTAGAGAGCCAACTTTGCCCCAGTACCAGCACAAACAACAACAACAAATCCCTACTAATTCTCGAGGGATGGTTCCCATTCATCAGCAGATGGCTAGATGAAAACCTCCAATGTCTCTCTCCTCCATTCTGTCATGATGCACAGCGTGCAGTGCTCATTCTCCTGTTTCTTCTGCTCCTAGTGTTGCCCCCCGTGCTGGTGCCAAGACACAGCGAATATAACCCCCAGCTCAGCCTCCTGGCCAAGTTCCGCAGCGCCTCCCTGCACAGCGAGCCTCTCATGCCACACAATGCAACGTACCCTGAGTCCTTCCAGCAGCCTCCATGTCCTGCGCTGCCTCCCTCACCCAGCCATGTGTTTTCACAATCCCCGTGCTCTGCCGGCTACCCTCACTCCCCAGAAAGTCCTTCTGAGCCAGACAGTCCGTATCAACACTCAGGTCAGTAAGAACCATGGAAATTATGGGAAAATAAGACCAAAAGCAATTACTGATGTTGGATCACTGAAACTGTAATCATTGCGGCTACCATTCACAGAATGCTTTACAGTTGTAGAGCAATCTTCTGTAGGACCTTGAAACCATTCATCCTCTGAGATGACCAGGACTATACCCATGCTGGACAGAGAAGGCCTGCAAACCATGTGGGTTTTTTGTTTTGTTTTGTTTTGCTTTTTTGCCAGTCCAGTGATTCTAACTCAGCCACCTGGGTGCTGTCCCTGAGCTTTAGTACTCAAGATGAGCACTCTTCTACTTGAATCACAGCCCCATTTCTGGCTCTTTGGTGGTTAGTGAGGAATAAGAATCTCATAGACTTTACTGCCACCAGCAGCGGGATGAACCACATGTTTGGCTCTGGTTTCTGATTCTAGTCTTCTGGAAGCTTTCAGAAACTAAATGGATTTGAAAACTATCCCTGGAAATTTCCAAGGACTTTTTGTTCTCCTCCCACCCCCCCAATCCTGGAGCTTGAACTTAGGGCTTGGGCATTATCCTTGAGCTTCTTTTGCTCAAGGCTAGCACTCTACCACAGCATCACTTTCAGCCTTTTCTGTTTATGTGGTACTGTGGAGTCAAACCCAGGGCTTCATGCATGGTAGGCAGGCACTCTACCACTAAGCCACATTCCCAGCTCCAGACGTTTTGTTCTTAAAAGCAGTAGAAATATGATTAAAATGCTTCTCTAACTAACATAGGATGGTGTGGTTTGGGGGACAGGCAACATGCTTCATCAACATCTGGCCTTTGCTCTCTTTGACTCTAAACAGAGAGAATGCCTGGCTATAGAAAATGTGTGTATAGAATGTGTGAATAGGTTTGGGATATGGCTCAAGTGGTAGCTAGTAAGAATGAATGAACGAGGGGGAGAGAGAGAGAGAGAGGTTGAGAGAGAGACTGAAAGGTTCAGAGGGGGGGAAGAGAGGAGGGAGAAAGAGAGGGAAGGAAAAAAAGAAAGGAGAGATGGAGAGATAGAGGGAGGTTTGCCACACTTGTGAAATGGGTTGAGATTGAGGAAAAAAAGAAGAGATTTATGTGTACCTCTACAGTGTGAGATATATAATTTCCAGAGTTGCAGTGTGCTGGTGGTTCATGCTTACAATCCTAGCTACCCAGGGAACTGAGATCCAAGGATCCAACTTTGAAGCCAGCCTGGGCAGGAAAGGCTATGAGACTCTTGTTTCCAATTAACTACCCCAAAACCAGAAGTGGAGCTGTGGCTCAAGTGACAGAGTGGTAACCTTGAGCACAAAAGCTCAGGGACAGTGCCTACACCCTGAGCTCAGGCCCCAGCATTGATATCCACACATATAACAAAACAAAATGGAAATATGCTGGCCTGCTATTTCTCATGTTTTTTCTTTCTTTCTGTGTGTGTGCACATGCACCTGCATGCACATGCACGCACACACTAGTACTAGGCCTTGAGCTCGGGGTCTGGGCATTATCTAGCTAATGGCTGAGGCTCTACCACTTGTTGAGTGGTGGTGCATGTATTCAAATTACCTGATAGAAAGTAATGTATTTTAGGTGACATAAGGAGAGATAGTGAACCTCATCGTACTCAGGAATGAGCACTGGGAATTGGGGGAAGGGATCCCTTCACTTTAAGTATAAAATTGTTTGTTGTAATCTCAGGCAGCATGCCTGCCATCAAACAAACACCAGATCTTCCAGGACTGACAATAAAGTCTTGCTTTGGCTATACTTGTCTCAGTTCAGTTTTTGAGCTTGCCTGGGTGAGGGTGTTTCTTGCCACATGAAGTGCAATTTAGTCTGTGCCAATTGAAACAAAAGACTGGAAAGCAGCACTTGGGGCTTACAGCCACCTTTCTAGTTCAAGCATTCACTTCCATTTCTTGGTGGAGTCCGGGTGTGAGCGTAATGCTGTTCACCTTGCTCTTTCTTTCAGACTTCCGGCCTGTTTGTTATGAGGAGCCCCAGCACTGGTGCTCAGTCGCCTACTATGAACTGAACAACCGCGTTGGGGAGACATTTCAGGCTTCCTCCCGAAGTGTGCTCATAGATGGATTCACTGACCCTTCAAATAACAGGAGCAGATTCTGTCTTGGGCTTCTTTCGAATGTGAATAGAAACTCAACCATAGAAAATACCAGGCGACACATAGGAAAGGGTAAGAGTGAATATGGCATGTCTCTGTGCAGTGTTCTGAGCTGAAATGTGGAACAAGAGCTCAGCCATGGAGCCTTGTGGACAGACCCTCTGCTGGAGCACTGTGGGGCAGTGGGTGTCATGCTTGGAGAGGTCACAGGGACTTTCTCAGTCCTCGTCTTTGTCTCTGGAGCCAGCAGGCCGTCTTTGGGGGTGGCACAGAATGGCTTCTGTGAAGACAAAATTAGATGATGCATTTGAGAACAGGATGAGATTATTCAATGGAAATGTTACATATTAATTTTGAATTTCCCAAAAAATGCTAGCTAGCATTTCTCTGAACAAGAGGAATTGTGACAGGTAATTATTATTATCAGGTTAAGTGGTTACAAACAACGCCTGACTTCCATTGGGACAGCTGGTAGATGATGGGAAGCCTTCTGAGTCCAGGTAGTTGCTAGGATAGCTGCTGGGGCTCAGCCCTCGCTGCTCTCTCTCAGGTGATCCATTTGAAGCGCATCTTACCCTGGGAACAAAGGTACCACAACCCAGGTGGATATGAAGTGGGCTGAGGGCCTTTAAATTCTTCCTTTCCTGACGATGTTTTCTGTTCATTGTTGATGCTTCTGCATGAGACCACTTAAGAGTCACAGCACTGTTAGTGTTTGGTCTTTTCTTTCTCCCATCTAGTAAGGTAGCAGGGAGCGTTTTCTTTGAGGTTTCTAGGTGTGTGTGTGTGTGTCTGTGTGTGTGTGTTTTCACTATCTTACTTAGTGATGTTTTCTAATGGTCTCCTATTGTAGCAACCTCCAAGCCATCATCAGGAACAGACTGAGTTCATTTCTTGATGTTGACTCTTTTTTTTTAACCAGTCCTGGGGCTTGAACTTAGGGCCTGGGCACTGTCCCTGAGCTTCTTTTGCTCAAGGCTAGTACTCTACCACTTAAGCCACATTGGCACTTCCAGCTTTTTCTATTTTCATGTGGTACTAAGGAATCATACCAAGGACTTCATGCATGGTAGGCAAGCACTCTACCACCAAACCACATTCCCAGCCCTTGATGTTGACTCTTTTTTTTGTTGTTGTTGTTGGTCATGGGGTTTGAACTCTGGGCCTGCCTGCTGTCCTTAGCTCTTTAGCTCAAGGCGAGTGCTCTACCACTTGAGACACAGCACCACTTCCGGTTTTCTAAGGGGTTTATTGGAGATAAACCAGGAGGCTGAGATCTGAGGATCATGGTTCAAAGCCAGCCTGGGCAGGAAAGTTCATGAGACTCTTATTTCAATTAACCATCAGAAAACCAGAAATGGTGCTGTGGCTCAAGTGATAGAACACTTGCCTTGAGCTGAAGAGCTGAGGGATAGCGCCCAGGTCCAGAGTTCAAGCCCCACAAAAAAAATTAGAGAAAATTATGTCTGTATTGAACAAGTACTCATTGTTCCTTAAACAATACAGCAAAGCAATTATTTAAACTGCAATAGGCATTCTACGTAAGTCACTTAGAGATAATTTAAAGTGTGTTAGTTAATGGGGCACTATGATATTTTATATGAGAGACTTGAGTATCTCTCCCTTATATGAGGTGGATCCTGGGATTGATCCCCCATGATGCCAAGGGCTGACTAAGTCATCCATGGGTCAGCATTGTGACTGAGGTTGTAGTTTTGTTCTGGATTTTCTGACAGGGAGGGCAGATGAGAAACTCAATCTGTAATGTGATTTTTTCCCCCCAAAATGGGAAATACAGTCATTCCACTAAGGAAATAATACCTTTAGTCCTTCCCTTCCTCCTCTTCTTCCTCCCCCCTCTTCCCTTCCATTCCCTCCTTTCTTTCTCAGTGGTAGAGATCAAATTCAGGACCTTGTCCATGCTGGGCAAGTGCTTTATCATGGAGCTATATCCCCATCCCTGTCCTTCCATTAACTGAAACAAGTTTCTCAAGTCTGGCTTTGCTTTCAAATGATTTTTGTGAGACTCTCCAGCAAAATCTGGTGACAACTTATTAATACATAACACATACGTGGAGCAGTTTGCTGAGATCCATGCAGGTTGGTCTGCAAAGCAGACTTTTGGTGCTGGTCCATCCAATGACAGAATTCAACAATGGACAAGTGTTGATTACTCTTCTTCTCGCAAGTAGCTAGTTTAAGGTGTTGCTGCTACCAGTCGGTCTTTGTCTGTGTTGCTGACTGAGAACTATCCCACAGCGTTAACAGAGCATGTGAGGAGCACCAGGACCAATGAGCTCTCCCGGATGACTTATGAGTTCTCACGGTGGTCTCAGAAGCCTGTGAAGTAATTGCCTTTAATATAAAACTAAGTTGTTGTTTTATCTCTAGAAAAGCTGTGAGATGCTTCCGAAAACATGGCAGGGAAAAGTGTTGGCTTGAACCCTGTGAAGTGAATGTCTGTGGGATCGTGAGCGTTCCTCTCAGGTGCTGGTGTGAGCTGTCCACGTCTGCGCAGCATGGCTTTCTGGGACCCTGCCCGATTACGTTGGCTGCACCATGCACTCCTGGGTTAGCAATGATGTGAATTCATAGAGAGGTAATTCATAGAGAGACGAATTTAGGAAATTTGGATAGCACCTGTTCTCAGCCAAACTGGACATAAGGGATAGGACAGAGTCCACAGGACAAAACCTTCTGCCCTTGTGAATTATGAGCAGCAGAAAAGGAAGACAAGTAAGATGTAAGGGAACAATCAGGCAAGGGAAAGAATGGGGAGGGAGAATGCTATCCTACTGTAAAGTAGGATAGCAGTTAAGGTCTTCCTCAGAAAGTGACTTTGAGTGCAGAACGGGCCAGGAAATGAGCAGTGAAGACATCTGGGAGGAAAGGTTTCCAAGCAAAGGGAACGGAGAAATGCAACACTTCTGAGCCTGCCTGGACAGGTGTGGGGCGAGAGGGCTGGAGCAGCCGTCGGGAGCGGTGAGGACACATGAAGGGCTTTGGTCTCCACTCTGTGAAATGGGAAGAATAGACATATGCTAAAAACGGTCCTACAATCTCATTATACACTTTCAAGAGACTCCTTGGCTGCTGTCTTGAGAATAGACTGTAGGGTGAGCAGAGGAAGACGCCGTCTACAAACACATTCTCCCTTCAGAAACATGGAGACCACTTTGTGTGTGACCTTGTTACTTAGCCAGGTTGGCTCTCCTCCTAAAGGGAATAAGTGTGGCAAAAGCATGGACACTCGCATGGTTTCTGCTGTGCCCTCGCATGCCACTGTGAGGCGCTGTGGCTGGCATAAAGCTTGCAATAGTTAACTGCCGCCGAAGGAATTGAACAACAATATTCTGACCTTGCTAGCACTATGTTTCAAATGGCTACTAATAAGCCAGCACTAACCTACCTAAGGCAGCCTCGTAAATACCAGAGGAAGCAACTCCGAGAGATTAGAACACTGAAATCTAACATGGGTTCTATCCTCATTCTTCCTGAGAACCAGGCAGAGCACTTGAACTCACAGCCATGACATTCAAAATGAAAATGATGACAATGATGATGAAGATGATGATGATGATGATGATGATGATGATGATGATAGCTACCTAGATGGGTGACTTAGTCAAGTTCCCTGGCATACACTTACCCATAGTGTTTGTTTTGTGTGTTGTATGTTTGTGTTGTATTGTGTTTGGGCTTGAACTCAGGGACTAGGTGTAGTCCCTTCACTCTTCCATTCACTTGAGCCACACCTCCACTTCCCTGGGTAGATAAGTTAAACATCCTTTGTCTTACAATTTATTTCTAACTGAGGCTCAAATGAATATCATTAATTCTTAGGTGGAGGGACTCAAACCCACTTTGTGATATTTTATGATCTCTGTGGCTGTCTATATAGGCTACTAATTCACTCCTACCACACACACACACACACACACACTCACACACACAAAGTAATTCAAGACTAGACACCTGTGACCTATGCTTGTAATCTTAAGGAGGCTGAAACTTGAAGGATAGAAATTTGAAGCCAGCCGGGCAAAAGGTCCACAAGACACCTTGTCAAATGAATTAGCAAATTATATGCAGAGAATCAAGTCTAGCAGGAGGCTCTGGCCAAGCCCCATAACAGAAGCAAAACAAACTCAACCCAAACAACACCAACAACAGAAAAACAGCACTTTGTGTCTTTGTTTTGTACATAACTTGAATTTCCAAATACTTAGTCAAATCACGGCTTTGAATTGACGAAGAAGCACAGGCCTTGAGGTTAGGGTTGTGTTGCTTAGAAATGTGTGTCTTAATATAATTTCTGATCAGTAGTAAGGTATTTCTGAGCACCCGTGGCTTCGAAGATAACTTCATTTAGTTCAGTTAACCTTCTGGGATTTTGTTTGTTTGTTTTAACCTTGGGTTTTGCACATGCGAGGGAAGCATTCTGCCCCAGAGTTACACCTGTAGTTATCATTAAACCACGTGAATGAGCCTGGGCTGGGTTCTTAGTATAAAGGGATACAAGCTCATTTATCTTCTGCAGATGTATTGGTTGTCTTTGTCCTGCCTGATGTCTATTCTTCATTTTATGGGAGATAAAGTAGGCAGGCTAGGATGGTACCCCAAAGCATTAAGTCTGCCCATTGAACTCACTGAGGTGAACGGAGACCATCCTGCAAATAATGGTCATGTTTTCTAAATCATTGGAATTCACTTGTTTTCCTTTGTCACATGTACTGCAGAATTCTAGCAATTCTTCCTTTCTTTTTTTTTAATTGTGAAAATACCGTATAGAGGGGTTACAATTACATGGGCAAGGTAATGAGTACATTTCTTATCAAGCATTGTTGCCTCCTCCTTTGTTTCCTCTTCCCACCCCTTCCCATCTCCCACCCACCCCCTGTCAGCCCCTTGGAAGAGGATCTTCCCTTCCCAGTGCTATCATTTCCTTTCCCACATATTTATTTCCTTCCCTCAAGATACCCCTTCCATTTTAAGATGTATGAGGCTCCTCATTTTTGGAAGAGCAAATCCTCAGGTGTGAGTGGCTTACACCTGTGATACTAACTACTCAG